CCGCCAGCCTCCACGGACCGGACGCGAAGATCTGCGGGAGATCACAGGCCAACAGCCTCCCTCGCGACAGAATTATTGTTTCCGATGCGGCGAACACGGCGGAGACGGAGACGAATATTAATCCTCCGGCCGCCGTAGCGCATCTGCCGGCGAGATCGCGAAGCAATAGGCACAAAAGTTGTGGTTTCATCAGTATTTTCGGGCGCTGTGTGAAGGTTCAAACCTCCTGATTAATTAAAGCGCGCTTTCCGGGCGGCGGTTTGTCGATTTATTGTCTCCGATTGCCACCGGACCGGCAAGCAGCTTGTTACAATTAGTTTTTATCTTCGAAATAATGAATTCTTGTCAGGAAAATAGCGTATGTGAAGGATTTTTATTTCATTATTATTGTTTTAATTAGAATTGGTGAATTTTTAAGCCATACTTTAGCACTTTGCGCTGTTAATTCTTAGGCATTTAGAAAGATGATGCTCATCCGTCCCGGAATGATGTTCAATTTTTTTTGTCTGTTCCCAAATTATTTATCCTTTTCTTTCAAATAATTTGTGCTCCATCACATTTCTTATACATTTTTACATATTGTTCCCCCCTTTACAAGAATTTTCATCACATAATTCACACTTTGTTTATTTTTGTGTAAAATCAACTACGTATTTTAGAAAATAATTTAGGGACGGTGGGAGTTGTTATTAAATTCCGTCGACAAACTAAACTCAGATCAATTAGTAAAGTAATATGCATTAATAGATACTCCGTATAATTGAAGGACTGTATCAGTTGTGTGTAAATTTAAAACGTCCCAAAAATGGTGGTGCACCAAGTAAAATCAATCCCCAAGTATGTGCCTCTTTTTACTCATACTCAATTCGAGCTTGCATCTTTTTTGATGTACTTCTAACATATTATTATGATATTTGTTTCTTTCATGACTAGTTTTTACACGCGCGTTGCGCGATAAGAAAAGTGCCCAATGTATTCTTTGTTGTGAAATATGTGTAATGTATATATCTACTAGACGAAGTACCCATGCGATGCACGGGATCTATCTAGAATTGAACAATGACTTAATTAAAATTAAGTTTTATGATGGTACATAATGTGTTACATTGTCAAATAAAAAAAATGATAGAGTTTATACGTTGTTACCTGTATTAATTATATGTGTAGTAGTAGCGGTAAGACAATGAAACTTTGGATCATATATACGTTTTTTGCTGTATTTTTCGCGCATATATAGTATTTGTTCTGTTAAATGAACATAGTAGGCGCACCATATAAATTGGTGATTGATATATGGTAATATATTTGATTTAATTTGGAGAGCACTTGATCGAACTCGTGACTTCCTCTTTGGGAGGTCATACTTCCTCCGTTCCCTTTTAATTGCAACAGTCAACATTTCACGTTTGCCAACGCACAAGTTTGACCATTAATATCTTTCATTCCTTATTAGTAAAAAATTCAAAAAATTCATGTTTTGAAAATTTAGAATGAGAAGAATTTAATAATATTTTTTTAAAAATTAATTTATAATACATTAATGAATAAAAAATAGTCAAAGTAGAATATGTGAATAGTGCAAAAAGTCCAATGTTGCGATTAAAAGAGAACGGAGGATAGTATATTGTAGTAGAATCATCACCGTATTGACATCGTATATAGCCATCTCATCTCCTCTTTTTGTTAACATTCAAGTATTGTTACCAACTAGAAGGTCTAGCTTGAAGAATCAAAGTCTTAAATCTAGCTTATACCGGTATATTGGTTATTAGGTAGTAGTTCAGGTCGTAGTGGTGGTCAAAATATTTCAACATATAAATATACGAAGTACGTGGTATTGGAATATGTATCAAAGAGTGAAAAATCCAAATTTGAGGTGTTCACCCCAAAGTGTAGTACAACCACAAAGTGTTTGACAATACTATGAGATATACTTTTAAAAAGTTTGTACAAGCCAAATAATACACACATAATTGATCTTTCTTGTAAGATACCGTTCACATTTGCTCCATAAATGTAAATATATACCTACATTAAATGTTAATTGTTGACATCCTATTTAGCAACTCACTGCTCTTACCGCAGTTATCAAACTTGATTTGTACCTAGTTTGTTTCTCCCAATTGAATTTGAACTTTGCTCATTATTGTTCAAATAAATGAAGGGTGTGATTGTGTTGTCCTTTGCATAGCTCTCCGCCCAACCCTTCATGCCAATAAGCCAATTCTTCCTTTGTATTATTGAGACTTCTTCCACCCCTTTGCATGTGAGAGTGTTCTCAATTAGCCACCCTTCTTTCTAAGTGACCGTATATATCAAGCATGGTTGTGAAGCCTTTGAGATAGTTTGAAAATTTGTCTTCTATGTGAAGTTGAATGAGAGAGAGTGTAGGAAGATAGAACAGGTTGTTGTTCTCTTAGTCTTGGTGTGCACAACGAGACAATCGGAACCAACCTCCGGGCCTCCGGCGTATCTGAGCCGAATCCGGTCGACGGAAATGGATCAACAACAATTATGTCTGAATGAAAATAATGTTTCCATCGGTTTTTAAAACCTTTCTTGGCAGGCAATATAACTTGAAATTTCAAATCAGTCTCGATATAGCTATTTAAGTTGTCTTGCAAAAAACTATCATCATACTCTATTGTTGCATACTTGCACCTACCAATGTATATATGTGGTAGACTCCGGAATCACTCATCGGCATTCCTGTTGACGACATGGAGAGAGTTTAATTTAGGCTCTTATTCCTTCGACTTTGCTTTGAATGAAGTATGGACTAAAGATCGACGTACTTATTATCAAGTCGCGATTTGATTAATGATAACTACTTATTATCAATATCCCTAAAATTTAATATAGTGATTATTTTCTCAGATTTTCACTTTCTCAATATCAACATGAACATTTGAATAATAAAAAGGAATCTACATTTTTTTATGGAAGGAATTTAGAATTGCACATGCCAATTTTAGTTTGCTTTATAGTAAAAATAGTAACACTTCAAATTAAAGAAAAAAATCACCGAATTAGTTACAACTTGTACATGAAATATTTTGTCCCAAAACACCGCGACAATTTTTATAGAAAAATTATAGGCCTGAACAAAAGTATACACTTTTTGTACACAAACTCCAAAGTTGTGTATGTACACATGTAGTTCGTTAAGAAAAAGACAATATTTGTCTCCCAATTATCTAAATACCTATAAAAATTAAAAAGTATACCCACTTTGTGTATATATACCAAGCCCATTTTTATATGTGACGACACTAAATTTGTTATGGTAAGCCACCCATACCATTGATACTCCTATCAAGTTTGTAGCGGACTCAACGAATGGTCTAGAGTGTTCGTAGAGAAGGTAGAGTATAGAGATCGAGTGCTACAGGAAGTATAGTTTAGATCTTAAATCCGGAGGTATGTATATATTACGTAATTTCAAAGGATTCTATTATTTGAAAAAGAACAAGAGGTAATCTGACAATGAGTTGTAATTTTAGGCGTATTATGATAAAAACTCCCGTTGAATCATTATAAGGGTCTGTTTGGATGGAGTGTTTGGAAGTGTTAATAATGGAAGTGTTAGTAAGTGTTGGTAAGGGGCCGGAAGGGAAGAGAAGTGTAAGTGTTAGACATAATTTTTACCCTGTTTGGGAGAGTCAAATGAATGAAGTGTTAGTAATGGAAGTGTTAATAATTTTGCCTTGGAGCAGAACAAAGAAGAGACGAAAAAGGAAGATCATCAGACCCTCGGCAAAGATATTCGAAGTGAGATGTCAAAGCATTATATATATTTTAGGGTAAATGAGAAGGTAATAATTGTCCAACACCTCAAAACACTCCAAATCGGGGTGTTAAAAAAGTGGACAATTGAGGTGTTGAGAAGGTTATTATTAACACTTCCTAACCGTTACTAACATTTCTTAACACCTCTTGATTTTTCCCCCAAACAAGTGTTAGTATCAACACTTACAAATATTTTCATTACTAACACTCCCCAACCCTCAATCCAAACAGGCAGTAAGCTACGTAGTACGGAGTGTAACGTAACACTTCAAAGAGTAAACATTTGGTTATACGAGTACTCTTCCGGTCAGGAATTCCTGACTGGAACCGCCGTCCGGACAGCGGTGTTTGGCCGCCTTCCGGATGGAATTTTTCGATGAAATTTTTATCACATGTTCTACATCAAGTCTAGTTTATCCACAAAAAATTTCATCGAAAAAAGCCACCGGGAAGGCGGCCAAACGCCGCCGTCCGAACGGCGGTTCCTGTCCGGAATTCCGGACATGAACATTTGTGTGGTTATACACATTTTTTATACATTTTTTTGTGCACAATAAAAAGTGAGATAAGATGTGCATACATTGTTGGTATACATAAACGCGTTTCACTAAAAAAAATCTGGCGATTTGATCACTTTCAGCGTTTTCAATAGGTGAAAAAAATGTTTGATAAATAGCGGTTCGGCAATAGGTGAGAGTTTTGGGTTGACGTTTTGAAAAATGACGTTTTTCACTAATTTTATGGTCAAACAGCTAAATTACCAAAGATCTTCTAACAACCCGCCAATTTATTCCGCTAGTCAAACCCGCTGACTTAATCCGTTATTTACAACCCGCTAACACAATCCGCTATCCGCTAACCGTTGAATGCCAAACACGCCCATAACATGTACGGTAAATGTATGCCAAGCAGCTCTCCCTTAGAGTAGGGGGTGATAAGGTTTAACCAAACCGAACTAGACCGAATCGAAACCGGATCATATGCAATTTGGTTTGAGTTTGGTAATATTTATTCCAAATCGTATTAAATCGAGCATAACCGAAACCAATAAAAACCAAAAAAAATAAACTAAAAAATCAATAAATCCTTCACATATTATTAAAAAAATAGAAGTAATAAATTTAAGTCGAACCAAATTGAACTAGACCGAACCGAACCAAATCAAATTATGGTATGTTTTTTGTTTAGTACTCCGGAATCATTTTCTCAATCCCTTCCAAAACCAATATGCCGCACCTTAAGCAACGTCGTACTGCCATATATCGTGTCGTTTGACTCATTTCGTGAGAGGCTCGCTCGCGCATCCAACCGGGCCTTGGTTCCCCGCCTCTTTCATTTCCGAACGCCAACCGCCAATCCGCCATGGATGATACCGAAGTAAAATCCTGAATCCGTCGCACCTTCATATGTGTTTGATCTGTACTTAACGATTTGAATACCTGTAGAGAATGGAGGAGGCATTGAAAGCGGCATACGCGGAGGTCATTCTGAACACTGTGAAGGAGGCAGCAGCCCGAGTGATGGGATCGGAGCAAAAAGCTCGTCGCTTGGAGAAGGATCTCCAATCCACCAAGGACGAGTCAATTCGATTGCTCCTCCGATTGAAACTCATGGCAGATGCTAAGGTTTTTTCGTGTTTTCTTCATTGATTCATTATGATTTTCAAAAATGCCCCCATTCCCATTGACCAATGTAGTCATGTAGTGACAGTAGAATTTCCTTGTCATGTTTTTATTTGATTTTGATTGTTCATAGTATGAAAAAGACTGATTTATGCTACAAGTTCAAACGCTGATTCTTGATACCAAGCTGACTATTCTTTATTTGAGTTAGTATATGATCCGTTTTGTATTGGATGCTTGAGTGATTGGTAGTGTGTTTAATCAGCTGGATGACATTATTCCCAGGTAAAAGAGGCTGAAACTTCGGCCATGAATCAGCAAAGAAGGATTGATGAGCTAGAAGCTCAGCTCAATGAAGCTGAAGGTCTGGTATTAGAGCTCAGAGAAGAACTTAACACCGTAAGGGAGGAATTTGATGAAACAAAGGAGAAGAATAAAACGAAGAAGAAGAATGTCAAGGATGATCCTGTTTTAAGCTCTATGATAATGAAATGCAAAGAGGCTGTGATGTACCGAAGTCCTTTCACCCAAAGGATTTGTGCAGTAGAGATGAGCTCACCAGATGTGAACTTGAACACCGAAGATGATCCATGCTTTGCTGTAAATATTAAACCGGTCAGAGAATGTGGCGAAACAAAGAAAACTGAGAATCATATAGATCAGGCTGGAGTTGGACTGATTCAAGGGAGTGTTAAAAAGAATAGGCCAGCAAGTTTCCATGGAGAAACTAAAAGAAAAAGTCATCTCGGAGAAAAAGTGCAGAAAAACAATGGTCAGTCTTTCCTGGTTCGCAGAAGTGCCAGGAAGAGAAAAATAAAGTACTGGGATGTTAATGCTTCTGTGTGGAGGTCTGATGACTATCACTCTAATCAGTCAAGAAAACATTCCCGGCCATGTAGCATGCCCAGACTAGTCAAGTGCAATGTCAAGTCCAGTGAAGACTATATGGAATCAAATACTGCTCCTGGGGTTAAGGATCATGTGCACAAGTTGGACACAGAACCAGATGTAACTGACAATGAATCTGAGAAGGCATCTCAAAGAAGCTATATGACTTCAGATCAAGCCAATGCAGAGGGGCAACTCAAGTACACATTCTTTAGGAAGAGAAAGAAGGATTCTTTAACCAATCCAAAAGAAAACTCTTCTGGAGAGAAACTATATACTCATGTGACACAGCAGGATTCTAGTGTGATTGGTGATGATTCACCGAGGAAAAACAGACAGCTGGTGCAGATTGCTAACCAGGTAGGTGATAAATTGTCACTTACCATATGATGGAAAAACAATCATTTATAGTAAGGTCATAACTTTTGAAATCTAGAAAGAGATTAAAATATAGATTAGTATCGAAATACAGCCTCATTCTCATTAGGTTTGGCTCCACTATTTCTCTGTATAGAAAATTGCAATCTTTGTATCAATGAGAGTCGCCTTATTCCAAACTAACGTAGCAATGCATACTATGACAAGGGTTCGTGCACAATGCATAACAAATCCAAAACTAAGGAAAAAGTGTCAAATAGGTCCACCTACTAATACGAAAAAGTCAATTAAGCCCCTGAACTAAAAAAACATTCAATTAAACCCCCGAACTAAATATAATGAGGCAAAACAGTCCTTTTGGCAGGATATTAACCGTTCCCGGTTAAGTTGCATGTGTGGCTAATTATGTGACATGTTTTTACATTTTCTTTTTCTCTTTTTCTCTTTCTTTCCTTTTTACCTTATCTCTTTTTAACCGCTTAATATCCTGCTAAAAGGACTGTTTTGCCTCGTTATATTTAGTTCAGGGGTTTAATTGAATGTTTTTTGAGTTCGGGGGCTTAATTGACTTTTCCGTATTAGTAGGGGGCCTATTTGACACTTTTCCCCCAAAACTAATAATCTACTCTTCCTCTTTTTGCAGCTTATTTCATTGTCTGGCAAGCTGTCATAAAGTAGTGTGAAGGAATTATTTCAAATTGATGAGATGTGATGAAGCAACCGTGTCAAAAAGATGATCGGACACATTCATGCCTGTTGTCTTTTTTATGGCGCACCAGCTTGCGTAAGTTAATGTTTTGCGCTTATGTAATGTAATACTATTAGTGCATAATGGGGCTCTCTGATTTTTTGTTTTTTATGTCAACTTTATTTTTCAAATAAATTCCTTTATAAAATATATACATGAAGTTGTTTTACAGCTAGAGAGCTGAACACAGCTTTTTCCCGGAATCCCAATGTCAATCCTGAGTAGGGGATGACGCAGTCCAGTTTTGGTTGCAAACAAGGTGGTGTGGTCCAGCCTAGCTGGTTGCGAGGTTACCGTGCCTAGCGAGAGGTCTCGTGTTCGAATCCCGCTAGGCACACAAGGGTGTGAAACTCAATGGAGTGAGTTTCAGCCCTGATTACTCCAGGCTCCCCCCAGCCCCCCTCCCCCAGACCCCCCCTGGAGTAAAACAAAAAAAAAACAAGGTGGTGTGGTCCCCAATCACAATAACCTTAACTGGGAACTGATTTTAACTGATTCGATTCCCGCTTTGCTCTAACCAAATGTTCTGGATCCAGTTAGAACCGCATTATTACTGTTAAATGAGGACTGGAAACGGATGAATCTGGGATTTTTTCTGAGTAACTGGAATGTATTTTTACTTATCATGGTACCTGTTCCTGATTGGAATTTCGACCAGTTCTGGTCTGATTCGGATATGGAACCTGGGGGGTTGTATCCACTCCTGTTCCTGCGTACATTTCAATGTATTTTACAAACATGCTCTGAACTGGATGTTGGTTCAAAGTGGCATTGCAATACAGGATCATTAAAGCAGTTTTCAATGTTTTCTTTTGAATTAAAATTAAAATCCAGTTGAATTATAAAGTTGTGCTGCTGCTAAATAGTGAACTGTTGAAGGAAAGCAGTGATATGCTCTTCTCAATTCATAGAAAACCAGTCAATCAACAATCAACAATAAGTATAGAATCAATTGCCTAGTTTGATTGATACACAATTGTAATAGTCATTATCTTGACAGTTTTTGTATCTATATTTAATTACAGTCCCACACATTATCAAAATTGCTCTCGTATTCTCCCTTACCAATCTTTCACTAGTGCAGCACCAATACAGCACCACCATTATCAATTCAATTAACAAGACCGGATTAGTACTCCATATTGCCTCATCCAGTTTTATCAACCATTCTTTTATTTGTTGAATTGGCCTCCTCTAGTGCTCAAACTGGATGTTAGTTACAGACCATAGCATTTTGACATTTCTTGTCACTTCTTTTTCATGCATCTTTTACTCTGGTCATTTTTTCTTGCAAGTTATGCAACAATGTCGGTTGGGGGTAAGGACTTGTGACTTGTCTATTTTGAAGACGGCCTTCATTGCATATTTGCATTCGCTGCAGCAACCTTCCGGGTAGACTCCCCCTCGCCCTGCATGGCCTACCAAGCTTATATTTTCAGCCTCTTGACCATGACCTCAAGCTTCGGTCACCCCTCGTACATATACTACAAGGCATTTCTTTATACCGAGCTGTGACTAGGAGCTTCTCAGACTCGGTTTGAAAGGAGGGATGTCCGGATATCTCTATCTTATGAGCTTCAAGGTGCGAATCAAACTTACCTGGAATTCGATGATATGAGCTGCCTCTTCCATGGCGCCATCATGCTCCCTTCTATAGTAACCCGTTGAGCAAACAGCTCGGCACCCATTTTCAGTTTAATATGAAACGATTTTAAAATTGTATATTTGAAATTGTATTGGGTACGTAACTGTTTATATTTAGAAACAGATTTTTTTTTAAAAAAAAATTGTAGTTTAGACAGAAATAGTACAGAAAAAGTAGTCAATGATGTAAGGGTTTTAAGTATGATAGTTAGCTAAGTTAGCTTGCCTTTTTAGTCTGTTCTTGCAAGATTGGGCCCTATTTTTTTTAGGATTTTCTCCGCTTAATGGGCATAAACTTTGTACTCAAAATATTCTTATTATATTATTTTATAAAAATATTAACAGTAAAAAGAATTGATTAACTCACTTAGCATACCGCTATATGATTATACAAACATAATCATACAAATATGCTCAAATGAATAGTCATACAAATTTAAATCGGAACATCACCTGAGCGGTTGGGGGTCGAGTAGGGACTCTGAGATGATTAGTTCAGAAATGGTTCAATTAGCACCGTCCTTTTGACACTAAATATTCCGTGCCAAAAGCTTTAGGACGGGATAGGCACAAAATTATCCGTTAAAAATAAGGTACATGTATGAAGTATTAGGCTAACCACAATCCATAACCTGTCAATAAATCAAATTTTCTACCGGTTTATGCGTATTCATTAAGTTAATTCAATTTTTACTGCAATCCAAAGTCAATATATTCACCCAATAAACATTTTTAATTAAACCTTACTTTTACAATTGTATATCAACTTTTTCCTTTTTTTTCCTGGAATAATAATGATCTAAAAAAGTCAAACATTTTGATGTAAAAATAAATATATTGAATTAAGGATGATTTGGAAGAGTAGTATAAAGAAGATGAAAGTTTCTCTCAATTCCAAAGACCTCATCGGCCCAGTATAAATACAGAGCAAGAGCCGATCAAATAGGATCGGTAAATCACTAACAAGGAAACAATTTGAATGGAAATAAACTTCTACCCTTAATAGAAAACTAGCCTTATTTATTAAAATAAAATATCTCCTAATACCCCCCCCCCCCCTCAAGTTGGCGCATGGGGATTTAAAATGCCCAACTTGCGTAGAAGGGCGTGGAACGGAGTCTTCCCTAGTGCTTTGGTAAAGATGTCGGCCAGTTGTAGAGTAGTAGGAACATAATTAGGAGCAATAATTCCATCCTGTACGGCATCACGAACAAAATGACAATCAACCTCTATGTGTTTTGTACGCTCATGAAAAACAGGATTTTGAGCAATATGAAGAGCCGATTGACTATCACAATAAAGAGGAATAGCTTGAGGATGTTGCACACCAAGACTCAAAAGAAGCGCTTTCAACCATTTCAATTCACAGGTAGCTGCCGCCATAGAGCGATACTCTGCTTCAGCAGAAGAACGAGCAACAGTTGATTGTTTCTTAGCCTTCCACGAGATGGGCGAATGTCCCAGAAATACCAACCAACCAGAAAGTGATCTACGCGTAAGGGGACATGCAGCCCAATCAGAATCACACCAGGCAGAGAGAGTAAGATCACTATCTGCACGAAGAAGGATCCCTTGACCAGGAGATCCTTTTAGGTAGCGGACAACTCTTAATGCCGCAGACCAATGCTCATCAAGAGGTTGTTGCATAAATTGAGAAAGAATATGCACTGAATAAGTAATATCGGGACGAGTAACAGCCAAGTAAATCAGACGACCAACTAGTCGTCTGTAAGGTTCAGGATCCGAGAGAGGCGAACCAGAAACCGTGGCTAAAGTATGATTCTGTTCAATGGGAAATGAGGCCGGTTTTGCTCCTAACAGGCCTGTTTCAGCAATAATATCTAATGCATATTTTCTTTGATTAAGAAAAATACCAGTAGAGCTGCGAGCCACTTCAATGCCCAAAAAATATTTGAGAGTCCCCAAATCCTTCATATGAAAGCATGTATGAAGATAAGATTTGAAAGCGGCAATAGCGGCACCATCATTGCCAGATATAAGAAGGTCATCCACATAAACCAGTATATTAAGCTGGATAGCTCCTCGAGTAAAAGTGAATAGAGAATAGTCTGCATAGGACTGAAGAAAACCATAAGTTTTAAGAGCTGCAACTAATTTTGCAAACCAGCATCGTGGAGCCTGTTTTAGCCCATATAAAGACTTATGGAGCCGACAAACCAGAGTGGAATCACTGGTCTTATAACCCGGAGGAATAGTCATATAAACTTCTTCATGTAAATCTCCATGAAGAAAGGCATTATGCACATCCATCTGATGTAACTCCCAATGCTTAGTAGCGGCTATAGCAAGAAAAGCACGAACAGTTACCATTTTAGCAACGGGGGCAAATGTCTCCGTATAGTCTAGACCAGCAACCTGTCTGTTTCCAAAAATCACAAGTCGTGCTTTAAGACGTTCAATGGTGCCATCAGATTTGTGTTTTACTTTATACACCCATCGACATCCCAAGGCACGTTTTCCAGGAGGCAATGAGACAAGACTCCAAGTAGAATTATTTTCAAGAGCCTGAATTTCATCCCGCATGGCATTGCGCCAACCTTCATGTTTAACAGCCTCGTGAAAAGTATTAGGTTCCGTAATGGAGTTAAGAGCTGCAAGGTAAGCCTTATGTTTTGCAGAGAAAGAATCACAAGTAACATAATGAGTTATAGGAAACGGCGTACCTGAAGAGGATGACGGAGCAGGAACAACGGGGAACGGACTGTTTTGGACAATAGTGTGTGTGATATAATCCTTGAGACGTACCGAGGGCATACGTGTGCGCTGCCCGCGGCCCAATACATTTGGCGACACCTCCTGGGAAGCCTCGGCTGTGTCTGCTGTGGACGAATCAGAAGAAGCACCACCCCCCGGTGAGATATTCCCGTTGTGGTGGTGTGTAGGCCCCGTGTCAGTGTTACCCGAATATCCAAGCATGGAAGTATCTGTGTAATCAGTAGGTAGAGGAACCGGCTGTGTATCCTCCAGGGTGTGGTGGGTATCGGCAAGAGAGGAAGCAGATGCATATGGGAAGATTTGCTCAAAAAATTTAACATCACGAGAAACAAAATATTCTCGAGTCTCCAAGTCAAAAACTAACCACCCTTTCTTGCCGAAAACATATCCCACAAATACACATTTTCTGCTTTTACTAAGAAATTTGTCACCCTTTGACCTCATATTGTAGGCATAACATAAACAACCAAAAACACGGAGAGACTTATAGCAAGGAGGTGTTCCGAATAGAATCTCGTATGGTGTCTTAAACGAGTGTAATGCAGAAGGTGTTCTATTGATCAAATAGGCAGCACTTAATACGCACTCACCCCAGAACGAAATAGGTAAGTTCCCTTGAAATCTCAACGCACGAGCCACATTTAAAATATGTCTATGTTTACGCTCAACTCGCCCATTTTGTTGAGGCGTACCAACACATGATGTCTGAAAGACAATACCACTAGTGCGGAAGAAATCTTTTAAGCAATTAAACTCCGTTCCATTATCACTTCTGACACACACAATTTTCTTAGAAAATTGACGTTCCACCATAGCGACAAAAGAAAGAAACATTTTGAAAACTTCCCTTTTGTCAAGCAGCAAATAAATCCAAACAGCACGAGAGTAATCATCAACAATTGTCAAAAATTGTTTAGCACCACACGAGGATGGGGTTCTATATGGTCCCCACAAATCACAATGTATCATCTCAAAAACATCATGAGTTTTATTTAAACTAGTAGAAAAAGAATCTCTAGTTTGTTTAGCTCTAAAACAAATATCACATGGGGAATTCCCAAGATTCTTCAAGCTACTTACTGGAACCAAATTTTCAATAACTTGATAGGCCGGGTGTCCCAACCTTTGATGCCATAATTCCGCCTCTTTCCCTGATCCTCTAACAGTCAATACACGTTCAGTTGATTCCTCCCGCAAGTAGTACAGTCCATTCCGCCGTTCACCCATTCCAATCAGCCTCCTCGAGACACGGTCCTGTATAACACATAAGTTACAAGCGAATTGGACAAAACAATTAAGGGCATCACTTAATTGGGAGACAGAAATAAGGTTACACTCCAATTTCGGAACAAAAAGAACATTATTTAAATAAAGATGATTCGCAAATCGCACACTCCCTTCTAGTGTGGCTAGAACCGTTTGGCCATCGGGAAGACCAACCGTGCATGGGTCAATATTCTTCAAATCACATAACAAAGATCGGTTGCCACAAACATGATTTGTAGCTCCAGTATCAATAATCCAAGCATCGTTATGGAACTTACCGGACATGCGATCATTGGTGGAGTTTATGTTACCGAGCATGGAGAGTAATGATGTCCACTATTCGGATGTGAAACCCGGCAGTGGAGTAGATGGTCCGCTCTTGTTCTCCCCAATGTTCTGTCCTTGCTTACCCACGGCTTCTGCTGCCACCGTGGCATGTGCTTTATTCACTTGTTTTCCACGAGATGCACCCGTATTCCCCGGAGCTCCAGAGTTGTTGGTACGTCCTCGTCCTCCCCCTTTGATTCCAGGCCGTGGTCTATCTCCCCACCAATCGGGATAACCATGAAGCTCAAAGCAATTTGTCACTTCATGTCCCGAAAATTTGCAGTAAGAACAAATCAGTCCAGATTTGTCCGGTTTCACCCCGCGACCCGCACCTTTCCCTTCTGTTTTAAGAGCAAAACCCATCACCTCCGGTCGCTCTTCTTGAGCCTGCACTATTCCCCGGACGCGCTCCTCCTGTGTCATTTGTTGGTATGCCCGATTCAAGGTCGGGAGATCTGTCTGCGTTAGTAACTGTGACCGAACACCGCCAAAGAATTCAGTATAAACACCCATTAAGAATTGGTGTAGGCGTTCTGATTCCCTTCTCTGTTCATGTTGTTTCAGCACATCACATGTGCATTTGTTACACTTACACGCAATTAGGGGCTCATAGTTATTCAATTCATCCCAAAGATTTTGTAATTTGGCATAATAAGTGCCAATGGTCATCCCTTTTGATTGAACGCATCTAGCCAAATCTGTCTTCACTTGGTGAATCTTTGGTCCATCAACTGATCCAAACCTTTCCTTCAAGTCACTCCACAGCCGTCGTGCATCTTCATAGTGCGAAAGAGTTGCTTTGACCTCCGGTGTGATTATATTCAAAAGCCAAGAGACAACCATGGAGTGGTTTGTGAGCCAGTCTTCCTCGGTAAAGGGAGGTGTCGGTTTAGTGAGTGTTCCATCAACTAGAACATATTTCCGTCTTGCCCGGAGCGCCAATCTCACGGCATTAGACCATTCTTCATAATTGTTATTCGTCAAACGAACAGGTGTGATGAAGTCACCCGGTCGATCTTGGGGTCCCAAGAAAAGTGGCGAAGTATAATCAATTTTTGCCGCCGGTGTTGCACCGTCTTCCGTCGTCATCCCTGCGATCCTTCAAGTCTGCAGAAGGAAAGTCGCGCAGCAGCAGTTCAGCGTATACGCTCTGATACCATATTGAATTAAGGATGATTTGGAAGAGTAGTATAAAGAAGATGAAAGTTTCTCTCAATTCCAAAGACCTCATCGGCCCAGTATAAATACAGAGCAAGAGCCGATCAAATAGGATCGGTAAATCACTAACAAGGAAACAATTTGAATGGAAATAAACTTCTAACCTTAATAGAAAACTAGCCTTATTTATTAAAATAAAATATCTCCTAATAAAATAAGTTTGATTTTTTTGTTATTTCAGAATCATTTTTGAAAAAATAACTTAAAGAAGTAAAAAAGAATATTTTGATGATGAAATCTTAATTTTAGCATTTCAATCTATTTAAGAAAAAGTTCGGGTGTGAAAACCTTTGGCGGTTGAATTTTCATATATTTTTCTTTATATTTTTTATATGCAATATTGATGTGATATAAAAAATCATAAAATGTTATAAATTTTAATATATATTTTTTATAAAAATTGGAGTATAAATGAAAGAGTTATAACAATTTAAATAAAAAAATTGATTTTAATTTTACATGACCTTACATTTCGCCACATCACATGGCAGTTTCACCTTGTCCATTCTTTTTCTAACATGCAGCAAATGGCCAGTGAATATGCCTACCCATTCCCACCCTGGAGTGCCATGCACCCTCCTAGTCGGGTAGAGGATCCCAATCCCACTTTGCTACCCCCAAATATATGGGTTATGGTGATTTTTGAGGTGAAAAGCTCAAAATTAGCTTATTCACCTTTGGGTTGCGGGAAGCCGTAGGTTGGAATGTTTTGTCTCAAATTTGGCATAGATTTTATTGTGACAAATCTTTGTTTGAGCAATATAAATATGTCGTTTCATTCGAGCGAAATTGAAATAAATTTTACCAAGCAATGGGGAAAATCCTAAATGTTATTGTGATGATATAGTAAAGCTCCAAACTTTTTTACCAAATCGTAATTTTTTGTTTCGAATACTAAAACATGTACTCCCTCTGTCCCAAAAAGAAGTTTCATTTCGCTTATCGAGGGTCAACTTAAATCACTCTTAAACTCTTACTTTTTATATCAAAATTTTATAAAAGTTGAATTATTTTTTGCAGGCTTTGTAGCGGGTTTAATGTAGTTTCTAAATATGTAAATTTTATTTACTAAAAATAATCTGAGTTTTCACAAGGATCATTTAACTGTATCGTCGGTCAACCTTCGTAATCCGCAATTGGAACAACATTTAGGGACGGAGGGAGTAATATTCAAAATCGGTAAAATTTCAGTTACTTTTCTAATTGGATTGATCGAGCTTGATGAAGATAGCTATGTTAGTTATTGTTTCATCTAATTTGTTCTTTATTTTATCAATATAAGATATTTTGAACCCCTATAATTAAGCAGATTCGGTCAAATCTACGGTTTCATCCAAAATTTCACCAATTTCACCATAATCAACTAATTCAATCAAATTTTCAAATGGATCAAACCTCTAAGTACTAGAAATATTCTTCTTAGAAAAACAATGTACTATCATCCGTTCTTTAATTCTTGCAACAGTTTGACTTTCACGTTTGTCAACGCTGAACTTTGACTGTAATTATATTTAATTATGTACTCCGTATTAGTAAACATTATAAAAATGTTATATTTTGGGAAATCAAATTGATAAGAATTCAATAACATTTTATACGTAATAATTTGATTATGTTTATTAGTAGAAAATCGTGGTCAAAGTAAGGTTTCTGAATAGTGCAAAAATCACAATGTTGCAAAAATTAAAGAACGGAAGAAGTAAATCATTGCCACAAACCATTCCTATTTTAGAAAGAAGGGTGTTAATTACTGCTGAGCCCGATAACAATTCCAATACTGTAATTCTGTAAAAGGGAAAGTAGCCATAATTTTAACTTTCCACTTTCCTGTTTCATTCCATCCAAAGTGCAAAACACAGTATAAAGGCCAAGAAAAGCTCGATCTTTGCAGGGGAGGCATGCTGGAAGAGCAATGATAGGGCACATCCATCCATGGTCGGTATGAGAATCTCTTGTCGAAGAGAATGTTTTCTTGTCTCTCTCACTGACAGTCTGAGCTCACTCATTTGACACCATCTGATCATTGCAGCCCCCCATTATCTGGTGCATCCCAGCCCCACCATACTCATCAACTCCTCATCCTCTCCTCCATATAAAACCCAGCTTTGGGTTCATTCGATTGGATGTAGTAGTATTTCATCAGCTATTCAATGGAGGTTTACATGAAGAAGAAAGAGGAAGGAAAGGGTGCAGATGTCCAGGCAGTGTGGTTTGCTGCCGGGACAGCGGCGCTTATGGCGTGCCTCGAGAGGGCTGTCGTGGTGTCGTTCGTCGAGCAGTTCCGGGTCCTCGTCTTCCTCGCTCTCAACCTCTTGCTCTTAGCCATTCTCTTCACGTCTAGACACCCAAATTGCTCATCCCCTCCTGATTTCAACCAAGAAAATGACAATGTAGGTGGCGGTTGCACAGAGGAACCCAAGGAAAAGGGAATGGCGGCTGAGGCACCCCGGGAACAGGACTTTGCGGTGGCAGCGGAGGAGGAGGAAGTCAGTGGTGGTGGTGGTGGTGGCGATGGTGATGATGATGATGAAGTAGATGCCACAGAGTTGAATGAAAGAGCGGAGGCTTTCATTGCCAAGTTCAGGCAGCATTTGGCTTCTGATGCAAAAGAGTAGTTTAGTTTTGGCTAAAAGATAGAAGGCATTTCTAGATGTAATTCCATTTCCCAGTCCCAAATTAAAGGGATTTCGTTTAATTTGTTTTAGGGTAGAAAGGTTATTCAAATGTGATTTCAACCGAAGTATTCCTAATATATATTTTTGCAGCTTTTTGGCAGATCCTCACGAACGATGAAACTTGTCTTTTTCCGAAATCCATATACGGAATATAAATTTTCTATTTTAGAGGATGAGGATGGATAGTAGTAGTAGACCCGTGTAATGTGGCATATGATATATAGATAGAGACAGATTGTTCTAATTTAGAAAATGGACATATACTAGAAATTCAATACATGGTTCTTACATGGACCGGAGAAAATAAAAGTAGAATTAAGAAGCTGTTCCGTTCACCTGATCTGAATGTTTCTGATCTGAATTTTTTAAGTTCTGATCTGATCTGATCTGAATTTTTCTGATCTGATCTGATCTGATCTGAATCTTTCTGATCTGATCTGATCTGATCTGAATCTTTCTGATCTGATCTGAATCTTTCTGATCTGATCTGAATGTTGCTAAACTGATCTGAATGTTGCTGATCTGATCTGATCTGATCTGAATATTTCTGATCTGATCTGAATGTTTCTGATCTGATCTGAATTCTTCTGATCTGAATCTTTCTGATCTGATTTGAATATTTCTATAATTGTAATTGTAATTACAATTATAATTATTAGATTTATAATTGTAATTAAAAATATAACTTAAATAAAATTACAATTATAATCATAATTATAAAAAAATAATAATTAAAATTAAATTTAAAATTATAATAATTATACCAATTACACTAATTATAAATACAGATACAATTATAAATGTAATTATATTTTTAATTATGATTAATTTTATAATTATTATTATTGTAATTATAATTATAATATTTATTTCTATAGTCATAATTATGTCTATAATTACTAATTTAAATATATAATTACTCCGAAGTAATAATAATTACAACAATAACAACAAGAACAACAATCATATTAATAATAATGATGATTATAATTATAATTACATTGTAAATCATAATTATAATTATAATTATAAATACATTATATTATATTATATTATATTATATTATATTATATTATATTATATTATATTATATTATATTATATTATATTATATTATATTATATTATATTATATTATATTATATTATATTATATTATATTATATTATATTATATTATATTATATTATATTATATTATATTATATTATATTATTTTATATTACATTATATTATATTATATTATATTATTATAATATAATAATAATTTTATATTATTAACATTATTATTATATTATTATTAATAATATTATTATATTAATATATTAATATTATTAACAATAACTATAATATAATAATCATAATTAATATAATAATAAAAGTGATAAATCATGTTTGAATTTTTTGACCTGATCTGATCTGAATGTTTCTGATCTGATCTGAATGTTTCTGATCTGGTCTGATCTGGTCTGAATCTTTCTGATCTGATCTGAATGTTGCTGATCTGATCTGAATCTTTCTGATCTGATTTGAATGTTTCTGATCTGATCTGATCTGATCTGAATCTTTCTGATCTGATCTGATCTGATCTGAATCTTTCTGATCTGATCTGATCTGATCTGAATAAAATAAGATTAAGGAATAAGTAATAAGATTAAGACGAACGGAACAGCTTCTAAGTGGTTTAAAAGTAATATGGATAATGCATGAAAATGAAAATAAATTAAATAGTATGGCACACATAAAAATTGTAGATAAAAATAGAACATTTGCATATGAACATGTAGGAGACCATGCTTACACTCACATTGAAAATGATCAGGAAACTCCTATACGGTATGTATCTGAGAATAACAATATTTCTTAAATTTTGAAAAACAACAAGAAATACGAAAAATGTTCAAGCATTTATAATGGAATTTGTGGTATTGTTTAGATGGAACATGTATAAGGTCATCTTATATAAATTATGTATTATGCACTCATTAGACCATGTTTACACTCATGGAACATTTGACAATACATGACTCTTCATACGATATGTTAATAGTACGAGCTTTAACCTAGTTTTCTTTTTCTTTCCCGCTCTTCTTCCTGCTCTTGGAGCCATCCGAATTGTAGTAATCTAATTACATTTTTAAACTAAATTGCAAGTCTAATACATTACACACTTTACCCCCTATAAACTTCATTGTTTTTTTAAAGAACAGCTACTTTTAGATGCCTACTACGCTCAATCTCACTAAGAATATCAATCGCACACAACAATTGTAAATAAAAGAATAGACACCTTTCACTCTTTTCCTCACTCATTTCACTGGTACGCACTCTTCCAATATAAGACCCCTTCAATTTGTTTTATCACTTGACACAACTCAGCTATTGGCCTCTAATTTGTGACTTGGTCGCCTCTCGTCTAGAGCAACGGGGGATGTCAGCGCACCAATGTCTGATGACAAAATTATTTATATAGGAGTAAAACATAAACAAAGGGTACATATAAGACTATCGTTGTTTTGTTTTTAAAATAAGATTTATTCACTCTTAATAGGGGAAGTCCTATACTTTTAATAGGATCAAATAAGTCATATTTCGGAGATAAAATACATGTAGTCCTATTTGTAGAAGAAGAAAAATAGGTCATATGCTCATTCTAATCCTTGCCTTTAAATTATTGTTAGGTATTCACATCAATAAAATGTACGGTCTATTATTGGATTACACTAATAAGTGGATTACGTTTGAGTTCATCCAACAAGTAAACCTGAAATAGGGGGCTTTGATATAATCTTGGAGTTTTTTTTCCAAAGGATGGTACTTTTTAATCTTATTTCCCTAAATGGGATACTTTTTAACTTTATTTCCTAAAGCAGGGTAGTTTTTGCCTAGTCAGTATTTTATATTATTTTTAATGAAATCGCCAAATCACTAATTCCATGTCAATTTTCATCCCTTTTTAATCTCCATGTCAATTTTGAATCTCTTTTATACTTCGTATTAAAATTAAAAAAATAGAGGCCTGATGGGAGTCGAACCCACGCCACTTCATTAAGCAAAACATGATACCCACCATAAGACCAACGTGCTTGTTTTACAACTAGCTTCTAAAATTTATTTAACAAATGTATGACTTACGTAGTAAATAATATACGCTCTTCATCCCACTAAGATTGTCTCATATATTTTTTTATCCGTCTGACAATGATTAGTCATACAAAATTTGGTCAAAATTGTGTGGTTCTATATCATTTTAACTTTATGAATGCGGCGGCGGTGCATGGTGATGGATGCGGCGACGGGGAAGGCATGTGCCACGACAATGGGGGGCAGCGGGTGCAGCGAAGATTGGGGCGGCAGGTGCCGCGGCGAAGGGCTAATGACTATAGTTTTTAGAAAATTAGTACAAAATTATAGTTTTATAATATCAACCTAAGAGGTTAAATATTATGAATTTGAATACTGAGTACTGTTTTGGGGATGAAATGCACGACTAATGAGGTCATGTATTGAGAATGTGGATGAGTTTTAGTTATACATAGAATATTTTTTTCTTAATATAATTAATAATGATAATAACAATCATCCTTATTTCTTATTTAATTTTATTTGTTCATATGTACTCCGTATATAATTGAGTTATTTGATTCTCTCTTATATATTATTTAGGCCATACATTTGATTTTGTATTATTTATTTTTAATTTTTATATGTGTATGTCTACATATATGCATATTTATATAAAACTATATTAGTTACTCAAATTTTAAGAATGATTGTATTATTCCAAAATGTTTAAAACTATGAGATGTTAATAAATTAATTAGCTACCGTCAAAGTTAACGACAAATTTTAGCGGAAGGACTTGATTTATATAGATTTAATAGATTACACACTAAAATGATAGATTCAATATTTCGAGGATCAAAATGATATGATAGCAATAGTTTAAGAATCATTTATGCATTCTACTCTTAAATTTAATGTATTAAATGATTAAAAGTTTGAAATATATGGGTCATCGAATGCCCAAGTAATTTATTTCATTTAGTTGTAATGAATAATAAACTATTATATAAAACTAAATACAATAGTATAGATTTTTTAAAGAAGTATTTTGTGGAAGTTGGTGAGTTTTTAATATCTTTTATTTTGTTATTATTGCTATCGTAGAAGATGGTGAAACTTTTTGACACTATATGAGCCAAAGAACGAATCATTTATGCATTCTACTCTTAAATTTAATGTATTAAATGATTAAAAGTTTGAAATATATGGGTCATCGAATGCCCAAGTAATTTATTTCATTTAGTTGTAATGAATAATAAACTATTATATAAAACTAAATACAATAGTATAGATTTTTTAAAGAAGTATTTTGTGGAAGTTGGTGAGTTTTTAATATCTTTTATTTTGTTATTATTGCTATCGTAGAAGATGGTGAAACTTTTTGACACTATATGAGCCAAAGAACGAAATAAATATACCTGACAACAATATGGTGGCAACAGAGTTAACTTAGTATAGTTGGTGAGGCATTAAAGGTTATGAAACGTTGTTGTGCAGGTTTGATTCCCACCATGATTTCTTTTAATTTTAATGTGGATATCCTTTCAAAAAAATGACGTGGATTTGTAGATGCAGATTTCAACCGAGTGCTGACATGGCACTTATATTTCGATGACTAGGCAAAAACTACCCTAGTTTGAGAAATAAGTTAAAAAGTACTATGTGTAGGGAAATATGATTAAAAAGTACCCTTCTTTGGGAAAAACTCTATAATCTTGGAAATGCGCATACTTGTTTTACATGATATCTGGCATTCCAGTTCCAACCTTGCCTAAATTAAATGTTTTTAACGGAGTACTTTTTTAAAATAAAAATAGAGGGTTCTGGTAACATTAAATATGAAACTTATGACATGTTTATTTCATATTTTAGTTAGCGGTGTTCATTAAAACTATGATTTTTAATAAAGAAAATATTGTCTTAAAAATAATATAGGTGTACAAAAAACCACAATACCCGAAACGTTTATACGAAAAAGTGTGAAAAATTGTCCGCGATTAAGAGCCTGCTTGGTGGCCCTTTTTTGACTTATCAGATTTATCGGTCAAC